TCGTGAGAGATGTTTTTAAGGCAGGCTACTGTTCCTTCAATTGCCGCAAGGCCGTAATGCCGTGGAGTAACAATTCCAAGTTTTCGCAGCACATTTCTTCTTGCATGCAATCCTTTCTCGTAAAACAGTTTCAGTACAGCAATCTGAAAGGAAAAAGGTTACATGGCCGAAGGGGCGACTCAAAATAAGTGAACAGCTTCTTATGCAAGCGTTTCTTGAGATAAGGTCATAAATGTTTTGCCCTATCGAAAAACTTATGGCCTTTGGTTAAAGTACAGAAGTTTAATCTTGGCAATGGCGCGAGTTGAATATTGGCGAAAACATGTCTTCATGATTGGAAGCTTGGAGCGTGATTGGAGCTGATTGTTTCAGGTTGGTTTGAGGTTGTTGAGCAATAATTGACGAGGTACACAGGCTAATTTCAGCAAAAATACAAAACCAAAGAAAATCATTCATAACTTCTTTGCGGAAATGTATGGTTTCTCGATAAATTACTTCGATCGAGTATCCTTCCTTTGTGATTACATTCAGTGCAGCATAAACGTTGACACTACAATTTTAAAGGAAATCTACGTGAATACTCACGTAATCAAGTATGTCGCTAAGCATCAACTTCCTCAGTTTCATTAGTTCATGGATTTCAAGGTTATCCGCGCCACCTTCCCTAAAAACTATGGATAGAAAATATCATTAGATTAAAATGCTATCAATTATCACCTGTACAAACTTTCGAAGTTTTTGAGGTCTACATCACAGTCGTGGTAATTCAGGATTTGGACCCGATGTACGAAAATAAAATCGCGCAATGCCGCAGTGATCCTTCCCATGTTTGTGATATAATCCACAACGGCTTCAGATGATAAATCGCCAAGCGCGTAAACTTTCTTAGCATCAAGAAGCACATCGTAGTACTCTTTGAAAATCTAAATTTTTGTGTACCATTAAGGTTATGCAGGATAATAGGTCTCTAAAAAAATTCTCAAATCCACTCATTGTAGCACATTCGTTCAATCGTCGGTAGTGTGAAGAGGACTTGCAGAAACTTCTTTTCTGTATTTATTTCATAAATTTCACTTCTTGGAACCATTCAGGTGCTTAAATCAGGAAAACAAATAGTTTCTGATCATATGTGCTTCTCTCATTCTCTTTATCTCAAATTTTTTTGAAAATTCAATTTCTTTCGCTGGTTATCACGATAAAGAAACAAAAATTTTTTCGAGCATCAAATTCTGACTTACATCATCTGTGCAATCAAGCAAAACTTCCACGTCTGCAAGTGCCAATGACAGCAGGGGTGGTAATAGTAATCCCCCGAATTTGTCACAACGAACGAACCACACTTGTGACAGCTCCAAGCATGGCATAATCTAGCCGCGAACTTAGCATGAGGTTTTTCAGTAGATTTGGGAATTGATGCAAAACATGCACCGGCCTGTCACCGAACTTGTGATGAGCGGGAGTCAT